TTCCAAGAATCTGGTAGTGTTACAGAGAATAATGAAACAGACTTAGGTCATGAAAATAGGGGGGGAAAGTGATCGTACGCCAATAACTTTAAATGCAGACCTTACAATAGTGGAGGAAGTCTGAGTCAAGACTGTGATCAGTGGAATGTCAACACTGGGCTTTCATGCGCTGCCCTGGGTAACGAAAAAAACTCGTAAACACTTGAATAGCGCCAGCTTCTGGGGGAAAGCTGTAGAATGTGAATGGAGGACCCTGGGGTGTTCGGTGGATACTGAAAGGGACTCGTAATGGCTGGAATAGGGGAGTGCAACAAGCGTCGGTTCAGTCGGTTGAATTCTGACTGAGTTATCACTTGATCACATTCAACTCCAAGTCGAAATCCATAGAAAGTGAATGGAGGCCTCTGGCGTGTTCGGTGAATAATGAAAGCGACTCGTAATGGCTGGAATAGGGGAGTACAACAAGCGTCGGTTCAGTCGGTTGAATTCTGACTGAGTTATCACTTGAGCACATTTAATTCGTAGTTGAAAGAACTGATTACCACATTGATTAAGGCCTTGTTGTGGTCAACTCTCTTCCCTGCTTTGGACAGGGCCACATAGTGGTCACATCTTACAAGACATGAATCCCACATCAGGAATTATCTCCTCAATAATATGACTTTACGCACCACAAGGTATTGGACACTCTTGAACCCTCACATGGACCCACATGGACCCACAATGATTACCATTTCTGGCAATATGAAAAGTACTTTCTTGGACTAGATAGAGACGTCATTCAGGTCCACATAGCATAGTCACCCAATATCAGTGATCTTATATGGTAATGGTAACGAATCAATGCTTGATGTGTTCAGCAGGGAATGATTGCAAGAATCTGGTGGGTTCCATAAACAATGAAATCAACTTAGGTCATCAAAATAGGGGAGGGAAAGTAATCATATCGTAATTACTTTGAATGCAGACCTCACAACACTGCAGGAATTCTGAGTCAAAATTTTGATTGGCAGAATATCAACACTGGGCTTTGATGCATTGGCTTGGGTAATAAAAGGAAACTCGTAAATAATTGAATAGAATAGAGGAGGGTAATAACATAGTCACCGTTCATTACAAATTGGGACTTATCAGTGCTTGACCAACTCCTGCTTGTGGCAGAAATCCATAGAATGTGAACAGTGCAATCTGGAGTGCTCAATGAATACTGAAATGGACTTGTAATGGTCCACTTAGCCACAGCATACCGGTAAATCAATCAATCTGCATGGCATGGGTGCATGAAGCTGTCCATGGTCGTGCATGGGAATGGGGCTCGGCTTCTGTGGCATGCCCAGGGGGTGCCTTCACATATACCCATCATTTCGAAACCGCCTCTCACTCCATGGGCCGACAGTTGGCCGCCGACAGTTGGCCGCTGACAGCTGGCCGCTGTCGAGAGGTTGTTACAGTGATCACAGTGGGATAGCCATTTGCCATTGTGCTCACTCAGCTCATGCGCGGGATGCCAGGGGCCATCCCCGCTGCCGAATTGGGAGGAACTATCACCTTAGACGGGTTCCACCTCTACCCACCAGCGCATGTTTGGCCCAACTATGGCTTGCCATGTTTGTTGTACGGGATGCATGGATACAATGGATGTCGTCGTAAGAGAGGCGGGATTCTTGGTACATGGTAATAACTAATACAATGGCATGGCATGGCCATCGCTGCAACGCACCAGTAGTCCATCCAGGGCGGCATCCATCGCTAAGGGATGACGCCGCGACGTTACTGGCCAAATTGGACGGCATGTTCATTCGGTAACGACGGCGGAAGTCGCGCGCTCATCTGGGTAATACGGTCGGATACCGAGGTCATGGCCGAATCGAGCTGTACAGGTCCCTCCATCAGCTAGCGGTCCATCCATGAAACATTCGTAATCATGTGAACATGGACATGTGCAGCACGCGATATTTTCAGCACAGTGGGAGCTGGCATCGGCTCCATGGTAAGGCCAACATACCTGCGATAATGTCCCCATCATCTCGAGTGTCAGTGTTTTCACATTGTTGATGGATCGTTCCAATGCATTGTTGATAGCGTGCACCTCTTGCACACTGCATTCAATCCGCTCTCCAATCACCGCAAGACAGTCCTCCATCTCCGTGGCATCTTCCTCCACGTGTTCGTAAATGCACTCAATCTGAACAGCCTCATGGAGTGCGGAGTCCACTGCTTGTTCAACTAGAGACGAAGAGGATGTCAGTTCGACGTTACTATCCGAGCTGTACGCAGTCCATACGTGTATCGGCCATTTCCGCATGTCGGGTGGCATGGACCTCGTCGGCGGTCCCAACTGTCCAATTGATATGATTAGAGCCATCGATGCTGTTACAGGAATTCAGCCATACCCTGTGCACGAACGCGGTGTTTGGTTGTCCTTACGCTCCCAAAGGTGTCTCTGATGCAGAAAGGATTCTCCATCTGGCCGTGACATATTGCTGCATCATGGTGTTAGTCCATCGTGCTCACGATGAAACGGGTGATGGCGGTATAATGGCACGCACCTTCTCTGGCTACTTGGGGTAACACACTAGCCTTCATAGCGCGGTGAAACCAATGCATGACCGAGAGAGGCAGCATCTGCTTTAGCAAGATATGGTCGCGACTTGGATCGTTCTGCTGTATGATATACCTGGACTTCCGTCATGGTGTGGCGTCGATGGGTGATCGATGGGCGGTCGCTCAACGTACCATTGTTCTAACGAGACGCTGATATTGCTTGTTCCAATGCGCGGCATCGCGTGCAGTGTCCAGCGCCTTAATCCCGAGCCAAACCTCTGTCAAGATCTCCTGGGGCGGATCGGCGTGGTGATCTGGCGTGCGCGATGCTTGTGCAAACTCCTGCCCCATGTTAGCAATGGATGGGCTACAGGAGCGGTCGGAGGACGGCATTGAACGTGTAGAGCAACACTGCGTCGTCCCGCAATGAGTTAAAAGGTGATGTGACGCCCGATCGTCACTGTGATATGGCGATGGCGATGCCACTCCGACGTCCACGCATAGATTGTACATTACGGCTGACCCATTTGTGTACCATGTCGAGGGCTTGGAGTCGGACTGAGCTGCCTCTGGTGAAGTGCATGCATTCTTCGTGCACATAAGGTCAATAATGCACAAGATATTCTAATATTATGCTGCTACATGGAGATCGCCCATCGTCCACCCGAGGTGACTACAACTCCCGAGCACGCTTTGTTCCCTTCTGCTGTGGCGTTGTCTCGCCCTCTTTTACGTCTACATTCATGTTCCCCTCTAACATGTAGGATGACATCAGCATCGACTTGAATACAAGAATAGATATAGGGACCCACCGTTGCCAGATGCGCTAGATGAGGATGAGTGGACTCGAGCCGAAGCCAGTTCTTCACCCAACGCGGACACGGACCTTGATCGAGAATGATCAGACTCAAACTCCAGATAGCTGAGGCGGTCGTCGATAGTGGCGAGCCGCTGATCGATTGTGGCGAGTCGCGAGTCCACTGTACGCAGGCGGCTATCTATGAGCTGCCGGTACTGTGTGAGCCCGTCCTCGAAGAACTGCGACCGCTTTAGCGCCTCTTGCGCGGTACTCACTGCCTGTGCAGCAGCAGCTTCATATCGCGCGCATGCGTCATGCGCGCGGAGATACTTGCGCTCCAGTTGCATCGCCCGCTCTTTCAGTAACGGAAGCTGAGACTCGATCATGTTCATACGGTTCATCAACTCTCCGTCATCGGCCGTACCTAGTATGACGGCAGCAATGCCATGGGTGAGGTGTGGAACGGTGTGACGGTGGGGCGGCGGCCGCCATACGCACCTGCCATGCTAGACGTTGCGGCGGACGTTCCCAGCTGTAGCAGTGGGCCAGGAGTAGGATCCATCATCCCGCTGACGATGGGACCGGGCCTCTGCGATATGGGATTGGTGGTCGGCCTCGTCTGTGGCGATGGAGCGTTCTGGCCACCACTGGGAGCTG